GGCAGCAAAGACGGGGGAAGAGGACAGGAGCCAGGTGGACAAGAGCCATCACCAGGACCCACAGAAGACCTGGGCATCCTTTGTAAGAGAGGAGGGAGGGGGAGGATTGAGAATGGCTTCCAGGTGCTTGGATTTCTCATCATCAAGTGCAGATGATTGGTTAATTGGGTGGAAGAGATCCTCCCACAGAAGGCCCAGGGTCTTAAAGGCAGAAGGGCAGTGTCACAAAATGGGAGGAGTTCTGGTCCCTCTTAGTATGGCATTTCCGGTCACTTCTGTTCCCAGTGGGGGGTGTGGCTCACAGCGGTGGTATTCTCCCAGTAGAATTTTACAAGAACTGAAATGGAAGCCTGATTCCTGCCACACCACCACCCATTCTGTCTAAGTTTAGGACATCATGCTGGAAGAACGTAATCTGCCAATTATGTTTCTGATCACAGAGGGGTGAGGCGAAAATAATTAATTATTTATGATTTACAGCAGACTCACTGATTCGTTCAAGGCCAGTCTTCTCGGGTCCTGGAGACCCAAGTCCATCTCAGGACGTTTTTGATACCTACTCACCAGTGTACTTTTGAGTTGGCCTTAGAAGCAAGAGTGCGGATCCATTTCTCTTTAACTGGAGAACAATAGAGGAGGAAAATGTCTGGCAAAGAGATGTCCAGTATGCACTTTTTTTTTTTTTGCAGTTAGCTACCTTTCTAATCAGTTATATGTGACAGCAGACAGAATGCGCTTAGATTTATTGTATACAATTACAGCACAATTTTTTCACTTCTCTGGTTGTACACAAAGTAGGGGCACACTATTCGTGCAGTCATACATGTACCTAGGGTAATGATGTCCATCTCATTCCACCATCATTCCTATTCCAATAACCCCCCTCCCCTTCCTTCCCTTTACCCAATTCAAAGTTCCTGCACTCATCCCATGCCCCCCCAATTATAGATTAGCATCCACGTATCAGAGAAAACATTTGGCCTTTGTTTTGGGGGGATTGGCTTACTTTGCTTAGCATGACATTCTCCAACTCTATTCATTTACCTGCAAATGCCAAAACTTTATTCTCTTTTATTGCTGAGTAATATTCCATTGTGTATATATGCCACAGTTTCTTTATCCATTCATCTGTTGAAGGGCATCTAGGTTGGTTTCACGGTTTGGCTATTGTAAAGTGAGCTACTATAAACATTGATGTGTCTGTGTCACTGT